ACAACATCTTTGTTGGTATGTGGTGCTGAGGATCGAACCCGGGCTGCACGCATGCCAGGCGAGCGCGCTACCGCTTGAGCCACATCCCCAGCCCCCGCTTTTTATTTTTCGAGAGAGAGTCTTACTGAGTTCCTGAGGTCTTGCTAAGATACTGAGGCTGGGACTAGGTCTGTAGCTCAGTGACAGAGCACTTGCCTAGCATGTGTGAGGCACTGAGTTCAATCCTTAGCACCATATAAAAATAAACAAATAAAATAAAGGCATTTTATCCATCTACAACTACAAAAAAAGAAAAAAGAAAAAAAAAAAGATACTGAGGCTGGCCTCAATGCCTCAGCCTCCCAGGTTGCTGGGATTAAAGGCGTGTACCTGGCAATGCTTTTCAAAGAGAATGGAGAGAAGACATGACTGGAGTTCTCAAATGTCTTGACTCTACTATTTACTACCTGTATGACCTGAAACAATTTACTTAACCTCTCTGTGCCTCAGTCATAAGGTGTTGTTAAGAGGCAAAGAGAAAATACTTATAAGCACTAAGCACAAAATAGTGAGTACCAAAACTTGAGATGTGATGGCTAGTGGATCTCTCTACCCACCAATAAACTGGAAGCCTCATGACCTGCCACACAAGAATGGGTAAGAATTAAATGAGATGCCCCTCAAGGGTTATGACATGGGGGCCATAAAACACAACATACACCCCCATTACTATCCTTAACTTAGGTCACTCTCTCTGATCCCCCCCTGAGCTTCATAGAACTCCCTTGTTCAACTCCACAGCCTTTGTCAAAAAGCAGGAAGCTGGGCTGGGGCTTTGGCTCATGGTAGAGTGCTTGCCTAGCATGTGCAAGGCACTGGGTTCAAGCCTCAGCACCACAGAAAAATAAATAAATAAAATAAAGGTATTGTGTCCAACTACAACTAAAAAATAAATATTTAAAAAAAAAGGAGTAAAGCCTGCTGACTCATAAGCAGATGCCCAGTATCCTGCCATTATCATTGGAGGTGAACACTTAAGGTCCTCAGCCTCCACCAGCTGGCTCCCTATTCCCCCTGGAGTGATGTTAGAAAATCTCAAAGCATGGTGAGATGGAAAGGCTATAACTTTTGCCATCAGAAAGGCCCAGTTCAAATTCCAACTGCACTTCCTAAAAGTATAACCTCAGACAAGTCTCCCTGGCTTAGCCTTGGTTTCCTCACATGCAAAATGGGGCCATAAAGTCTGTCTGTATAAGAGTACAGAAAAGATTAAATTAATGTCCAGAAAACCCAGAGCATCATGCCTGTCACATGGTTGATGCTCAGAAACTACCTGTTTCTTATAACAGATCAGGGTAGGAGTCGGTGAATATCCTGATACTCGTGTCCCTCACACAAGTAAGTGAACTGGAGAAAAAGATGGAAAAAGGGTAAAGTCAAAAAAGGCAAAGAGCAGAAATACATCCAACAAATGCCAGAGACAAAGCTCCACCGTAAGTCTGAGCTGGAGGCAAAGCTACCTGTCCAGGTGAATCAGCCTTGAAAGGGAGAGGGGCACAAGGGGGGTCTTCATCAGTTTCTTTTCCAGATTCCACTCCTCCATCAGCAAAGCCTTCCCTACTCTCCTCCCCACTCTTCACCACCACATTAGAGGCAGTCCTGCCTCTCCCAGGGAAGAGCAGCATGGAGCACATGCTGGCCTAGCTGCATAAACTGCCATCTGTAACCTGCAACCAACATCACGCCCCACTGAAACCTTATACCAAAGTCTGCTGAAGGTCCCACAGTCCATCCCTGCCCTAAGAATAGTCCCAATTGGTGGCCTTGGGTACACCCTACTCTCTCTCCCTGGACCAGTAGGATGTTGATGCCAACCTGTCAGCTGGCTGTGTGGCTGAAATGCAAAAGCAATCTAAATAGTCTAAAGCATCAAGCAAAATGCCTGGCACATACAATACTCAATAAATGATAGCTATTACTAATTTTTTTTCCTATCTCTGAAGTTTATTTTCAGGTTTTTAAAAGATGAGTCAATGACTCTCCCAACCCCCCGCCATAAGTCCATGACTGAAGTTGTCTTTGCAGCACCCAGCACTGATGCCTCTTGGTACCCGGAACATCCCTTTCTCATCTGCCATCCCCAATATTCTTATTTAAATACCACCTCCACCTTTGTTCATGCTGTCCGTTCCATCCATGATATCCTAGATATAACTCCATACCATTTCTCAGGCATTTAGAGGATGCCTGGCTTTCACATCGTGAATCCCTACAGCTCTGTTGCTACTCCCAGCCACATTTCATAGATGAAGAAACCAAGGCTCTGAAGATTAAATAACTGGCCCAGGGTCACAGAGCTACTAGGTAATGGAGCCAAGATTCAAAATGTTTATTTTTTAAATTTTTTTTTAGCTGTAGATGGACACAATATCTTTATTTTAAAATTTTTTTTGTAGTTGTAGATGGACAGAATGCCTTTTTTGTTAATATTTATGTGGTGCTAAGGATTAAACCCAGTGCCTCACACATGCTAGGCAAGTGCTTTGCCACTTGAGCTACAGTCCTAGCCCTTATTTGTTTATTTTTATGTGGTGCTGGGGACCAAACCCAGGGCCTCACGCATGCTAGGTAAGCGCTCTACCACTGAGCTACAACCCCAGGCCTCAAAATGTTTTTTGACTTTTTAGTCATTTAAATTTAGCATTTCTCACCTTACTATGTACCTTCTTCTACCATCTCAGCAAATCCTGCTCATCCAAGACCCAGGTCAGTGTCATAAACCTTCCCAGGTATACTAAGTCAGGATTCTCTCTTCTTTTCAGATACCTGTCCCCAGTATCAAGCATGCAAATGCTTCCCTTACCCTCCTCCAGCCCACAAGCTCCTGAAAGGCAGGACCAGTGAGCCCAGCCCCTGATTTTTACCTCTGCCTCTACCAGGCTCCTTCACCACATACAGGTGCTCAGTTAATGCCTGATAGGTCTACTTACCCCTAAAAGGCCAATATGCGCATCCACCTGCTGCCCTCAAAGAGCAACCATGAGAAAATTCCCCAGACCCTACTGTACCCCAATTTGCTGTTCCACTTGGCTGTGAGAATTAGAAAAAGGCAAGCTTGATGTGTCCCTCTGAATAAAACATTTAAAACAAAACAACATAGGCAGAAAGAGGAATATTTATACTAGCAAAGAGTATTAAGCTTTCATCAATGCACAGCCCCATGCTAAGAAAAACAGAAACAATGTGGGCAGAGAGCTCAGAGGAGGGAGGCAGAAATGGGGCCAGATCAGGAAGGAAGGTTGTTGTAACCCTCACACAACAGTCTATCCTGAGGATCGTGGAAGAGGAGATACTGACTGGGGGTGGGAGGTGACAGAATCACATCTGTTTGAAAGAAACCCTCTAGCATTTTTTCTCCCCTCTTTACCCCATCAGGTTCCTAGGAGATTTAAAAAAAAAAAAAAAACTAGAAATGCAAACAGATGTCCCTGATTTCTGAACCAACCTATGATTTTAATTTTTTTATTTCATTTTTTAAAAATATTTTTCAGGGGCTGGGGTTGTGGTTCAGTGGTAGCCTGCCTAACATGTGTGAGGCCCTGGGTTCGATCCTCAGCACCACATATAAATAGACAAAGTTAAAAAATCCATTGGCAACTAAAAAATATTTTTAAAATAAATAAATAAAATAAAAATATTTGGGCTGGGGATGTGGCTCAAGCGGTAGCGCGCTCGCCTGGCATGCGTGCGGCCCGGGTTCGAACCTCAGCACCACATACCAACAAAGATGTTGTGTCCGCCGAGAACTAAAAAATAAATATTAAAAATTCTCTCTCTCTCTCTCTCTCTCTCCTCTCACTCTCTCTTTAAAAAAAATAAAAATAAAAAATAAAAATAAAAATATTTTTCAGTTGTAATTGGATACAATACCTTTATTTTATTTAGTTGGTTTTATGAGGTGCTGAGGATGGAACCTAGGGCCCCACACATGCTAGGCAAGTGTTCCACCACTGAACTACAACTTCAACCCTTTTTATTTTTTGAGACAGGGTCTGGCTAAGATAGTGAGGCCGGGGCTGGGGCTGTAGCTCAAGGAATACCCATGGAGTCAGGGGAGGAAACCAAGAATGCCAGACTGGACCCTGGAATGATGAGCATCAGAAAGAGGGTGAGTGATAAGATACCCTCAGAAGGACCAAACACTGTAGGAAAGCAGTTGAGTGCAGAAGTGAGAAGCTACTAAAAAGCAAAAATTGGAGTTAGGAGCCCAGGGTCAGATCTGAATGTTATCACTAACTAGCTGAGTTTACTCCCACATCTGTGAAATGGACAAGACAATCCATTCCCTGCTTGTCCTCAGAGTATCAAATGAACAGATAAAAGTTTAAGGTACTATAAACAAAGCAAGTATTAGGTGTGACCATTTTCTCAATAAGCAGCTGACCTCTGAATTGTTTGCCGTTTCCTGCTTCAAACTCTGGAGTCATCTTCCATCTCAGTCTCCCAAAGCAGGGTCCAGTCTTAGGGGCACTGCTGGGAGGCAGCACCTTCTGTTCCAAAAAGAATGGTACCATCCTCCTCCTCAGGCTAGAAACGAACTTTCACCTCACTGGGGAAGGGACTTCCGTCTCACTCTCCCACAGGTAACTCAGGAGGCACTGGAGAAACAGCGGCTTCACCCCAAGACCCTTCCAAGCAACTGAGAAGTTCAGGATCAACCCTTTACTCAATTACTGCACTGAAACACGTGTACACATTAAAATCACCTGTGGAGCCGTTCGCAAATACCCAGGATCAGGCCTTACCTCAAACCAATAAAAATCAGAATCTCTCAGGGTGGGTCCCCTTATTGAATTTTTTTTTTTTTCCAGGACTGGGGCTTAAACCCAAGGGTACTCTATCACTGTCATCATCAGCCCTTTTTATTTTAAAATTCTGAGAAAGAATCTTGTTAAATTGCCCAGGCGGTCCTCGAATTAGCGATCCTCCTGCCTCAGCCTCCGGAGTCGCTGGGATTACAGGCGTGTGCCACCACGCCTGGCACATTAATGTTTTTTTTTAAAAGCCTCCCAAGTGGGCTGGGGCTGTATCTCCGGGGCAGAGTGTTTGCCTTGCAAGTGTAAGGCACTGGGTTCAGTCCTCAGCACCACATAAAAATAAAATAAAATCATGCTGTCCATCTACAACTACAAAAATAAATAAATATATACATATATTTTAATCCTCGGAAGTGGTTCTGCGCCACCAGATTAAGAGTCATGTCAATGAATGGATCCTCGACTGCCCCATGACATCCCTCAACCCCATATGCCCAGGGAGCTATCAGACCCATTGCATCCCCTTCCCCCGGCACCCCAAGCCTTTCTGCATGGATTTCAGCCTTAACCCTCAAACCCAGCTTCTCCCGCCATGAACCCAGAACTCTCCAAATCCACAAATCACCTCAAGGAACCCCCGAAAACAGTCTCCATGACTCCCAGAGCAGAGAGCATTCCCTACCCACTTGGGCTTGTCATTTGTGTCAGACTGGCCTCAAGTCCAACCCACGCCTGCCGGGGAGCCCAGACCACCCGCCGGCCCCTCACCGTAATCCTAGTAGGCGAAGCCTAATTCCAAGGCTGCGGAAAGCCAGGTGCGAGACAGTGCGCCTGCGCACACGAAGCCCGGGGCTTCCCGGCTCTCTCCCTCCGCCCCCGCCCAGCGATTGGCTCTGCGCAGCTCCGGGGACCGCAGCTCTGGCAGGTGACTTACGCCTGAGGCTGCAGCAGCCATGTTTATCTTGGGCTCTTGCCCTGAGCGACCAAAAACAGTGGACACTAGCAAACAGACCTGGGAACCTTCCTTCAAGCATTATGCACTGCCTGAATGCACAGCCGAGGAGGGTTTGGAGATGATAGTGGCACGACCTGGGACTCCCCTAAGGCTGGATTGTGAGCCGCTCAAGGGTGGACAGGCCCAGCTTGAGCTGTGGTGCTGAGAATCGAACCCAGTGCCTCACACATACTAGGCAGGTGCTCTGCCACTGAGCTACAGCCCTGGCCCTATTTTTAGTTTTTGTTTTCCTTTGTACTGGTGATTGAACACAGGGGCACTTTACCACTGAGCTACATCCCCAAACTTTTTTTTTTTTTTTTAAAGAGAGAGGTGAGAGAGAGAAAGAGAGACAGAGAGAATTTTTAATATTTATTTTTTTTTTTTTTAGTTTTCGACTGACACAACATCTTTGTTTGTATGTGGTGCTGAGGATCGAACCAGGCCGCACGCATGCCAGACAAGCGCGCCAACACTCGAGCCACATCCCCAGCCCCCCCAAACTTTTTTATGTTTTTCTTTTGAGCCGGAGTCTCACTAAATTGCTGGGGCTGGCCTTGAATTTGCAATCCTCCTGCCCCAGCCTTCAGAGTCACTGAGATTACAGGTGTTTGTCACCACAACAAGCTTCCTCCTCCTGCTCCTCCTCCTCCTCCTAATAATAATAATAATAATAATAATAACAACAACAACAAGGAATACCGAGCTCTTACTACTACCCTAAACTGTGCTAAGAATCCCACATACATTTTCCTGTTGAGTCACAGTATACCTAGGAGCTAAATGCTATTATCTCCTTTTAACAGATGAGTAAATTGAGATTCAGAGGGATTCAGTGACTTTTGGACAAGCAAGAGGCCCAGCCAAGCTAGAATCCAGCACTCCTAATTCCTAGAGCAGGAGTCTTTCCTCTTCCTACCCCTGTCTAGGACCTCAATATCAAGTCCATATGATTTCCTCTAGTCTGCGGAGGGTGTTCCAGATCTTTCTTCTGTAAACCTAGATAGATTACTAAGAAAACAAACAACACACATTGCAGCCCTTTCCAATTTCCCTACCATAGAATATAAATCAAAAAATATGGCCTTTGGCTTCTGGGGAACCTAGGACTCAGTCCTGTATTCCACTTTTTTTTTTTTTTTTTTTTGTGGGAGCAGTTACTGGAGATTGAAGCCAGGGGTGACTTATCATCAAGCTATATCCTCAGTCCTTTTAATTTTTTTTATAATTATTTATTGGTATGAGGGATTGAACCAGGGTGCTTAACCACTGAGCTACAATCCCAGCCCTTTTGTTTTAAGATTGGGTCAAGACTGGCCTTGAACTTGAAATTTGCCTGCTTCCAGTGGCTGGGATTTTAGGCCAGCACCACCATGCCCAGCCCAACTCCATCACTTTGCTAAGGGACCTTCCTTTTGTTAATCTCTGTTTTATGCCTTACCAAGATTTTGTGAGCATTAAATGAGAAACAGGGGTATAAGCATTTGTGCATTGTTGATTCTATGCCTTTGTTGATTCTTTTCAGCAAACTCCTTCTAACAGGAATATTGTCCCCTTCTTCCTTTGTGACAACATAGCAAAGGTCTTACGAGTAGCAAATGGTCCAACACAATCAGACAGCTAAGCTAGCTCTTACAGGGTTAGCATGCATGCCAGAAAACTAGGAGTTAAAAAGTAAATCAGTCTTCAAGGCCATGGAAGTCAGATAACATCCCAGGAGAAGGGAGGCTGGGCAGCCAGCTCAGCCTTCTAAGACTATGCAGTCAGCAGAAATCCCAAGAAGCCAGAGCCAGACAAGCTCATGAAAATCAAACACACTGAGACAATAGTCTGCCCTGTTCTGAAAATAATCTTAGGGACTCTCCCAGATGAAAAGGGGCAAATTCCAAGTAGTGAGGGTAAAGCACACTATGCAGAACAGTCAATAAAGTAATGTGCAGTTACTTTTACTTTATTAGCATAGTAAAAAAAAAAAACACCTCAAGACAGAGACTTAAGATGGTAGTAAGACATATAGCGCAGCATGATGAAGAGCGCAAATAAAATCTCACCTCTACATGTGATGACATCAAAAGACAGGTCCCTGTCTACCCTGAAGATGCCGTGAAATCTATACATCTTGTCCTTTGTTTGAGCCAGCCTGACACTCTCAGTTAGGGCTGTATCCCCCTTCTTGCTGAAGTAGAAACACCATTTAAAGCCTTGCTTGTATAACCATATTCATGTGATCCTATTTCATTTTTATTGTCACTGTTGATACCATTTCCAGTATCAAGAGAAGCCCTGTGTCCAGGGGCTAGAGCCTGTTCAACCAGATCCTGTAGAACCCCTAGTGATTCCATGAACCTCCTCCCAGCATACATAATCCACCAGGCTGTCTCATTGCCCTCCTTCTCCCCAAGCCCACTCCTATAAGCTCTCTTCTCACCTTCTGTTTCCCCCTTTTCCAAAACAACACAGTCCTAGTATATGAGGCCCAGGCCCAAGGTACCCTAGGATTAAAAAAGACAGATAGATATAGAATTTCAGAGTGTTGTTTATTCAAGGACTTATTGACTGAAATGTCAGTAATAGACCAGTTGAACTCCTGAAATTTGGGTCAGAAGGAAGGATGTATATAATGTTAGAACAAAGATGACCTCATTCTAGGCATAATGTACTGGTTTATCTTAAGCTAGTATAAGGCATACTCCTGGTCCAGTTGTAACGCTCCACATACCACTCTAATTGTTTGTTTATACTTTGCTGAGAGGTGTGCAGAAAAAGTCAACTAGGGCTACTCTGGGGCAGTCATGACAGTTACAACTCAAGATGGCTGCAGTCACGTCAAACTGAACCTATATACTCTCCTAGAGACAGATAAATAGACAGACACACACACACACTTTTTAGACTTAAGTGACTGCTGAAACCCCTCTTCCAGAATGCCCTCATGACTAGAAGAAAGATGATCAATTCTTCCCTCTCCCCACCCCTCACCTCCTTCTATGCTTTCCTGGCTATGAAGACAGAGAGCTAAATTTCAGCCTTCATTGTAGGTTTGGCACACTACGCCCCTTGTAAATTTGCTAAGGGAATTTCCCCTGCCCTTCCATCTCTGGCTAGTGTATGCCTTTATTTCAAAGCAAACCCTGAGTCTTTTCTTAACCCTCCCTGGGAGTCCAGTAGGGAAATGGTGGAATGGGGAAGACTGATAAGAGATAATTTCTATGAGAGAACTTGGATTTTTCAGCCTTGTGGTGTGTGCACTTGACTCAGTTCCTCATTGTGTCTTCTCATGAGATTTAGAATTAAGTAATTCCTGGCCAGAAACAAAACCAAAACTGTTCCATTCTTCAACGTATTTGAATGAACACTGATAATAAAACCAGGTACAGCTCCAAGAGGAGACATTGGGGGAGAACCAAGTTAGGTCTGTAAGGAATTACACAAGAAATGGCACACGTTTATGCGTATAAAGGTTATGATATATAAAGGTCATGATCATCTTGTCACATCAAATTGAAAATGTTACCACTGTCTAGACGGTGGAGAATATTTAACTGGGAATGTAATTTTATTTTTTAGGTATGAAGCTTTTGTAGTAGTGGTTGGGTTGGTTTGCTAGTAAATATGTGAAACTTTGGGGGGAAGAAGAAAAGGATAGACCTTGTATCCTTCATGTTGCATTTAATGCCCCATGGTTACATTCTGAGGTCCCTTAGCCTTCTGATTTCAACAATGTAAACTTTTACCTTGTGATTATCTCTTATTCCTCTTCCTGGTTGTCAAGCACAGAGAAAACTAGGAGGGGACTTCGGGTGTCACAGGCCACATCACTGCCTGATTCCTTGAAACATATTGGATTCCCTGTAACTACAAAAAATAGATACACACTATATTTGAAGAAATTATCTGCTCCTCTAGTTTCCTACCTCTCTGATCTAGGTTCCACACTCAGGAAGCCTTCCCACCATGGCCCAGAATGCATTATTTCAGATTTCTGTTCAGGAAGAAAGAACTTTCCTCCAAGGAATAAAAGAACAAAGCTCTGGGTTTGGCTCATATTGGCCAGCCTAAACTATGGCCAGCGGGATGGCAGGGATGATTCACTTAGTCCTAAATCACCCACAACTTATGGACAGAATAACCAACTCCACCAGAACCATTTGACTGAGAACCAGTGGGGGCTCCAAAAATCAGGGGGCTGTTACTGGAATCAGGGTGAAGGATTCACTGAGAAACTCACAGCTTGATCCTTATTTTTCTTGTTTTGCCTGAAAACATCCTTCCCAGATCAGTAGAAATCTTCAGCAGGAATGTAGGGACCACAATTAAAATGCAGGTTCCTCACCATCCCAGGCTCTACTTGAGCTTGGTCATGCATGTGCCCCACTCCTCACCAAAATATGACTATATTCTCTTGGGCGATTGAGAACAGGTGGGAAAACTGGCCAGTCTCACTGGACTGTTACTGATCTCAAGGCTGGGTTGAGGTTAGTCCAAGTGTAGCCTTGGATTTTAGGGGAGGGAAAGTTATACAAATTGGAGTGGGGTATTATATATTAGTCTCCTATTGCTGTTGAAACAAATTACCAAATTTAACAGCTTAAAAAAATTTATTAGCTTACAGTTCTAGAGGCTGGAAGTCTGAAATTTATCTTGTTGGCTAAAATCAAGGTGTTGACATGACTGTATTCATTTATTTTTTGAGAGAGAGAGAGAGTGAGAGAGAGAGAGAGAGAGAGAGAATTTTTTTTAATGTTTATTTTAGTTTTCAGCTGACAAAACATCTTTGTTTGTGTGTGGTGCTGAGGATCGAACCTGGGGCCGCACGCGTGCCATGCGAGCACGCTACCGCTTGAGCCACATCCCCAGCCCATATTCATTTCTTTTTTAAAAAAAAAAATTTAGTTGTAGTTGAACATAATATCTTTATTTTATTTTTTTATTTTTATGGGGTGCTGAGGATCAAACCCAGGGCCTTACTCATGCTAGGTGAGCGCTCTACTGCTGAGCCACAACCCCAGCCAATGTATTCCTTTCTTGAGTCTGTCTGGGTGGATCTATTTTCCTACCCTTTCCAGTTTCAAGAGGTTGCCTGCATTCCTTGCTCATGAGCCCATTCCATCTTCAAAGCCAGCAATGACTGGTCAAGTCTTTCTCACATGTCATCACTCTATTCTTTAGCCTCCCTCTTTCACATTTAAGGGCCCCTGTAATTACACTGGGACCATTAGATAATCCAGGATAATCTTCTTAGGTGAGCTAACTCACAACCCTAACATCATCTGCAACCTTAACTCCCCCTTGCCGAATTCATAGGTTTCCAGGGATGAAATTAGTGACATCTTTGGGGGACAGGCATTATTCTACCTACCACAGAAGGCTTCACCCAAAAGGACCACTGTCTCCCTAGGATGAGTCCTTAGAGTGGACAGAGAGCAAGGCTCTGTCTTGAAGCTGTGGGGTAGGGAGTATTAGGTAGATTCCAAATAAAACCCTAGCCAAGTCCCTTCTCTCTATTCAGATACTGACCTCAGCAGCTGTCTTCACTAGGCCACTGGCCAAAATTAGACTTGGGAGAGGAGCTTAGTTAGGACTAATGTAACATTGCCAGGGTGACTGTGGGAGATCTTCCCAGGGAGTGGCTGGGTTTTGAAGGGTACTTAAGCTGGTTATGCTGCTTAAGTCAATAGAAAAGAGGGGAGAAAGTGATAGCATAGCAGCTTTTAATCATTCAGTTTTAATCATTCATAATGACCACTCACCCCACCAGAAAAATAGGTGAACCCACTATCACAGGGGACTGGAGCTCACAGTACTCATGCCATCAGAAGCAATCTTTCTGGCTTCATCCAAGTGGCCTGTAGGCTTTGGCATCAGTTGGGCTGAGTTCAATTTTCACTGTGCTGCTTTTAATCTGTGTGATCCTGGGAAAGTAGCCTCCTCTGAGCCTCTGGATCCTTAGCTTTTTTTTTTTTTTTTTTTTTTGAGATCAGATATTGAAAGGTTTTGAACTCAGGGGCACTCAACCATTGAGCCACATCCCCAGCCCTATTCTGTATTTTATTTAGAGACAGGGTCTCACTGAGTTGCTTAGTGTCCCATTGTTGCTTAAGCTGACTTTGAATTTACAATCCTCCTGTCTCAACCTCCCGAGCCTCTGAGATTATAGGTGTGCGCAACCATGCAGGGTTCCTTAGCTACTAAATGAGAATGTCAATCTGTTCTTCACATGGCTATGAAGAATTACAAGTGCTTGTGTAACATTCTAGAGTGAGAGGGATTGTGATATAGTCTGAAAGCAGTTCCAGCAGGGATTGGGCACAGTGTTACATGCCTGATCTCATTTGATTCTGGGAGGCTGAGGTAGGAGGATGGTATGTTTGAAGCCTCTCGCCCACATCCCGAGAGGGCCATGGAAATGGGGTTCCCCTTGGTGGAAAAGGCTGGCTGAGAAATAAAAGCTAGAAAAAATATAGAATGGAAAAAAACAAAGGACACAGAAAATAGTTTCAAAATTGGGGTGTGAGGGGTCGGGGAGAATAGGCAAGTGGATGGAGCTTCTATACTATGGCAAAATGGAGCCTGTGCCTGCTTTATTTATATTGGGAAATATCAAAGGTCTTCCATACAATGTTCTTCATCAAAAAAGGTTAAAGGTGGGCTGTCCAGTTCCCAAAGGGTTACGCCCATCTCCAGAGCTACTATGGGGGATCTTCCTAGCAGACCAGAGATAAAGGTCACGTGCATTGGGCAATCTATTGTTGTGGGAGAGTGACAGATGGTTCCCAAGGCCAAATCTAAATCTCCCTGGCTTCATGCCAGAGAAGATCCTCATGTATTTCATGGATGGCTTCCTACAGAAGCCGGCCTCAGCAACTTAGCAAGACCCTCAGCAACTTAGTGAGATCTCATCTCAAACTAAAAAATAAAAAGGGCTGGGACATAGCTCAGTGGTAAAGTGCCCCTGGGTTCAATACCCAGTACAAAAAAAAAAAAAAAAAGACTAATATTGTGAGCATGAGTCTTGAGACAGATGTAGGTTAGAATTTTGCCTTTACCATAAATGAGTCTGGGCAAGTCATTTAACCTTTATAAGTCCTGGTCAACACTTTTATTGTGTATTTATAATTCCTTGCTATGTTAAGTGCACCTTCCTAGAGTTGATATCAACTTGAAGTGAGATGCTCACAAGCAAAATTCAATGCAGGAAGGTCCTAGTGTGCAGGAGCTTCACTCAGATGTTAGGAGAATCCAATCCACTGGAGGGGCTAGGGGATGGGGAGCAAACTTTTTTTTTTTTTTGGAGGGGGAGCAAACTTGATAAAAAAAAAAAAAAAAGAAGCCTTCAGTGATATTGAAGGTGGGCATCCCTGAGTTCAGGCCATTGCTTCCAGCTTGGAGCCACTGTGACCCTACGCTCACCCAGGTGTAGACAGGCTGGCAGGCTCCTGGCCAATTCAAGGTGTTTCCCTTTGCCTGGTAACAGGGAGGTGTGGCTGAGTGAGGCAGGGTATGGCGGGGAGCAGCTGCAACTAACAAGTGGTGGAGGGAAGCTTCCTGCTGGAACCCTCTGGCTACCCCAAATGCTGGAGACTAACCTCCCCTGGGTGAAGGAGACAAGTGAGTGTGAAGTTATTGAAAGGGCACGCCAGGGTTTGAGAGCTTAAAAAAAGTCTAGGGTCCTTAAGGCCTGCTGAAAGCCTGGGGTTCAGGCCCAAACCTGGGACAAGAAGGGAGGAGGAGGAGAATTCAACACCTGATTTAGGGCGACCCTCCAAAGCCTTAAGGTAGGCAAGTGAGACTCCTGCCAGAAAGGAGAGCCCAGGGTTCCGGGTGACAGTAAGAATTAAGTCTATATCCAAACACCGCCCTGCCACAGGTCTGAACCAGAATGGAGCCCCAGTGAAAAGGCCTGCTGCCTGAGGTTCACACCATGTACTCTTACGTCTGCCTGCCGCGCGGGGAGAGTGCCTGGCCTCCGCTGCAGCCCCTCACCTACACCTACCTGCCCGCCCCTCTGCTGCTGCCTCCCATCCAGGCCCACAACTTCTGCAGCCGGCCAGCGAGCTTGTGCGTGGGAGAGAGGGCGGCCCCGCGAGAATACCACCGTTTTTACTGCCCGAGCGTATCTCCGGCCGCCACTCCACCCTGGTGGGCCTTCCCAGCAGCCTACGCCGCCGCCCTTAGCTCGCCGGTCCCTGCCGCCCGCCTCCTGGGGCCGTCGCTGCAGGAATCCGCAGCCGAGAGCTGGGCGCCCTGGCCCGAAGGTGGCAATGTGCAAGCCGAACTGCGATGGGGCCGCGTGGAACGCACGCACGGCCAGGGCTTGCAGCTGCCCGACTTCGTGTGCCGGGAGCTGCGGCGAGTGTACGGCACGTACCCGCGCACCGACGTGCGCGTCACCCACAGCCGCGGCGAGTTCCTGCTGCAGGCGTCGCCGCAGGTCGGCCAGCCGGAGTACCGGGTGGAGAGGCGCCTACTGCGCCGGCCCAATAGCGGTGACAGCAGCAGCCCAGCCCGGGAAGCCGCGAAGCGCGGCCGTCCCAAGAAGAGGAAGGGCCTAGGCTGAGCTTTTTTATTGGCATTATTTTTGTGTTAGTAGAAGGATCCCTTTAGCTGTGTCACTTAGAATGCTATTGGTAAAGTTAGGACTTTGACTTGTCACATTCATCTTTTAGACCAATCAGGTCAAAATATCTGGGCTAGCTAATCATATCAGTGAAAAACAAATGGAGCTTACCTATGTAGGAGGTTAGGAAGATTTGTAAGTCTCAAATCATTTGATTCAGAACAAACTTGGGACTCTGGAAGTGTCAGGTACTCCTGTATAAAAACACTTTCATTATAGCCTTCCAGTTTCATTTACTTTTGGGAGGACTGACACAAGTACACATCTCAAGTTGCATTAAAAGAGCCATTGCCTTTTTTTAAACACTTGCTTTGGTCATACTTTCCTATCAGGTGTTTAAGACCAAGTTGGTCAAAATTGACCTTGCTTTTCTATCTCCTGCTAAGAGTCAGCAGAGATTTAGCAGGGATCACTCTTCAGACCTTGGCTCCTTTAGATTTTTTTGTGTATGTGTGGTGGTGGTGCTAGGGATTGAACCCAGGCCTTGTGCATGCAAGGCAAGCACTCTACCAACTGAGCTATATCTCCAGCACTCCTTTAGCTTTCTCCTACTGGTCATGCCATCTGCCAGGATGAGTCAGAGTCTTGCTGACCACATATGGCTTCCCTTAGAAGTATCGTGACATTTCCCTCTCCAATGACCCTCTTTACAGAATGTGCACTGGTTGACTTCCTGTTCTCTAGGGTTCTCACAATCCTCCTGATTTGAATGTTGGGTGACTCACTGGAGTTAAGGGGCTTTAAAGGGTACCCATCATTCCCTGGATCCTGGTTGACCCTAGAGGGCATGGGCCAAAATATTGATTGTATTTTCTTTAGACTTTTTAACTTCTTTGACTTCGGTCTCCAAGTTTTGGTTTTAAACATCCAGCAGGCCAGTTTCACCATTCTTGAAATGAGAGTAATGGGTTTTAACTTTAAGGTTTCTAATTTTACAATTACTCTTCCCATTTAATTGGGGTTTGTATCAGTACTGCAAGTCAGATATCCTATCTGTCCTGGAGGTGATGCCTTATTGTCTTAATTCAGGTTATTCTGGTTAGAAGTAGTACTTTTGCAAAATACTAACAGATAGTAGTTACAAAGTGAAATTAGCAAGAATAAAAGCACACAAAATCTCTTTAAAATACTCAACTGAACATAGTCAAATAAAGTTTGTCTTTAATAAAGACAATTAGTCAATTTTTGCTGATAATAATAATAATGAATATAGTCATAATATGAATACAATCATTTTATTTAATAATGTGAATATATCATAGTTTATTTAATAATATGTATATGATCATATTTCTGTGACTGGGTTTATCAACTTTGTGAAGTTTTGGTCTTTTTGTTAGCAAAGGAGAAACATGGGTGACACTAACTACCAAGGGAACAATGTGTCCTTAAAGAGGTGATTCAATGGCTACATTCCAATTGTGCCCTATCCAGGATCATAAATTGTTTGTAGTTTTGAGAAATAGCCATTTTTTAGATCTTTTGACATTACTGAAGTCTGAATTATTTTATTCTTGTAGTGTGTGTGTCCAAGGATAGACAACTTGGCCTAGAATGGGGAAAAAATGTAATTTTCCTTCCCTCAAAGTTAAGGAGAAGAGAAAGAAAAAAATTGTCAGTTTTAAAATATGATGCAGTGGTGCAGGATAGCAAGGACTATGCTCAAAGCAGATCAGTGTTTTAAGGAACCCTTGTTGTTTTTAAACACAGAGGATTAGACTTTGTTCTATATCAGTATATTAAAATTTGACATATTAAAAAGAGTTAAAAATTAATAGGGAAAAATATTTCTGAAAGACAAAGTATCTTGTAAGGTAAAGTAATACTTTTGTGAGCTGGGGATGTGGCTCAAGCGGTAGCTCGCTCGCCTGGCATGCGTGCGGCCTGGGTTTGATCTTCAGCACCACATACAAACAAAGATGTTGTGTCCGCTGATAACTGAAAAAAAAATATTAAAAAAAAAAAGTAATACTTTTGTCTTGAAACACAAAATGATTTCTTTGTCATTTTTATTGACTTGTTTATTTAGGCTATACTGGGGACCAAACCTAGGGCCTCACACATCCCATGTAAGTGCTCTACACTAAATCACTACACTAAAACAATAATCCTTAGCCTAAAGTCCACAATGAAAGAAAAGACAAAACTAAGACAAGTTATAAAATGTCGAAGTAAGTTACATAAGGTTTGTGAAAGGTAAATCTTGAAAAGTTTGTGTGTGATTAAGTTGACTATAATTGGCACAGTTAAAGTCACCACAACAAAACTAAACAGATATTTTTAAAGTTAAAATATAAAAAAGAGGTTTAAGGGCTGGGGATATGGCTCAGTGGTAGAGCGCCTGCCTTACACATGTGAGGCCCTCGGTTTGATCCTCAGCACCACATAAAAATAAATAAATAAAGGTGCTATGTCTAACTACAACTTAAAAATAAATATTAGAAAAACAAGTTTCGGGCTGGAGATGTGGCTCAAGCGGTATCGCACTCGCCTGGCATGCGTGCGCCCGGTTTCCCTCCTCAGCACCACAAACAAACAAAGATGTTGTGTCCTCAGAGAACTAAAATAAATAAATATATATAGATATATACTAAAAAAAAAAACTCTCGCGCGCGCATGCACTCTCTCTCCTCTCTCTCTCTCTCTCTCTAAAAAAAAAAAAGGAGTTTTGGGCTGGGGCTGGGGCTCAGTGGTAGAGTGCTTGCCTAGCATGCATGGAGGCACTAGTTCAATCCTCAGCACCACATAAAAAATAAATAAATAAAATAAAGGTATTGTGTCCATCTACAACTAAAAAAAAAAAAAATTTTTTTTAAAAGGAGTTTTAAAAAATAGAGGTACTACATACCTAGGTCACTGATACTTTGGTAGTGGGAACTGAATCCAGGAGACAGGGTCTTGCTAAGATGGCGGAAGCTATCCTTTCATTTGCAATCCTCTTGCCTCAGCCTCTCAACTTGCTGAAATTACAGGCATGCACCACTGTACCTGGCTGCTTTAATTTATTTTGGGAAGTGGGGTGGGTCCTAGGGATTGAATCTGGAGGCACTCAACCACTGATTCACATCCCCAACCCTTTAAAAAAAAAATTTATAAAAGATGGACACAGGGCTGGGGATGTGGCTCAAGCGGTAGCACGCTCGCCTGGCATGCGCGGGCCCAGTTTGAGCCTCAGCATACAAACAAAGATGTTGTGTTCGCCGAAAACTAAAATAAATAAATAAATAAATATTAAAAATTCTCTCTCTCTTAAAAAAAAAGATGGACACAAAAATCTTCATTTTATTTATTTATTTGTTTTATTTATTTTTTATGTGATGCTGAGGATGGAACCCAGTACCTCATATGTGCGAGGCAAGTGCTTTACCACTGAGCTATAACTCCAGTTGCGCCAGCCCTTTTTTTATATTTTATTTCAAAACAGGATTTCACTTAGTTTCTTAGGACCTAGCTAAATTGCTGATGCTGGCTTTGAAATTGTGATCCTACTGCATCAACCTCCTGAGTCAGCCTCCAGAGCCACTGGGATTATAGGAATGTACCACCATGCCCAGTCTGCTTTGATTTTTCTAAGCTTGGAGAATTGTTTGCATGTTGGTAAGCCTTTTCAAATTCCTTTATTATTTTATATATATATATTTTTTTAGTTATACATGGACACAATATCTTTATTTTGTTTATTTCTTTCTTTTATGTGGTGCTGAGGATCGAACCCAGGGTGAGTGCTCTACCACTGAGCCACAACCCCAGCTCCTCAAATCCCTTTTTTAAACAATTCAGGTTTCAAAAAATGGTGAGCCTCACACCATTAAGCTGTGGTTTGTATTCCCTTCCCTCTCTGTTTTCTTGGGTCCAGATACTTGTAGGTTCTCAATCCCACCCACACTTTTTTGTGTGTGTGTGTGTGTTTGTATGGTGCTGGAGATTGAACACAGGGTGGTGTGCATGAAAAGCAAGCATTTTATCAACTGAGCTATATCCCCAGCATTTCTCCCCATCTTTGAGGATCTACATTGCTCATAGATATTCCTCCCTGTCTTCTACTTAGTCTCAGAAATGCCCCTGGCTGCACACAAATTTACCCCTATCCCCAGCCAAGGTAAGGGAGGAAGGACTGTGACTACAAGCTTTTAGAAAGAGGTGCTGCTCCTCAGTGCAATCCAGCATCCCACCTCACTCCCAGCCCTGTGGATGTAAAGCCTGCAGGAAACCTGAATGCTTTCTTGTTTGATCTTTTCTTTGAACTTAACTCTTAGAAGTGCAGAACTCATAAAACACTTTGCTGTTCAGATGCTTCAACCCTCTAAATTTACATTATGCCAGGAAAGTAGGGCCTGAGTGAGGGAGTGATTCACCCATGGTCATACAATAATAGGTGGGAATCCAGAGCTCCCAGATCTCAGCCTGGGTTACTAAGCGCTGATCCTGATGGTCTCATCCTGCTAGTCTTGACCCAGACTTACTCAGCCGAGCATGGAAGACCTGACTGACAAATTTCAATGCCGCAGTCTGGCTGGGCACAATTCAGGAGCCATTTGTCAAAAGAAACAAACTTTATTTTTAGAACACACACACCACACCACACAGCTCCTCAGGAAAACCTTCAGAGCCCAACTGCCACCACCGTCTTCCCACAAGCCTCTCAACCGCCCCCACTCCTCCTGCTCTTGAGGCAGATTGGCTGGGTCGCATGGGCGGAGCCAAAAAAGGTCCCCCAATGAGCAGCTCCGTGGTCTGAAAGGGCGGGGAAACAGCCCAATGAGCATCACCGCAGAGGAGCCAATCAGCTGGCAGCTTGAAGTTTGCTGGGGCCTCTGTGAGCCAATCATCAGCTGGCAGCTGGAAGTTTGCTGGCAGCTGGAAATTTGCTCAAGCCCCTTTGGCTGTAGCTCTCAACAGATCCTGATGGTCTCATCCTGCTAGTCTTGACCCAGACTTACTCAGCAGAGCATGGAAGACCTGAATGACAAATTTCAAGCCCTACTCCAGGCCACAACTGCCCTTACCTTTGGGTAGCTCCCATTCTACTTAAGGGAAAAGAATAAGAACCATAACCTCACACACTGAGAACTTCTATGTACCAACTTAAGTTCCATGCAGAAATTACCAATTCATTAAGTTTAAAATTCACAAAACTTCGATGTACACAGAACTATTATTTCCACTTACAGATGAGGAAATTGAAGCCCATAGATATTAACAACTTACCCAGTTATACATTGAGAATGTACCAAGATTGTATCTGATAGGTCTTAACATCTAGGTCAGATCGTCTCTTCACACATGAGACACACTCAACAAACAAAAGGAACATTTATTAAGGAACTACTATTTGCAGAACACTGGGGTAAATACTATGAGGTAGGGGGCTCCTGAACCCAGCCTTACAGGGGAGGAGTGTGGGTAATTTGCTTTCTGTTGGGGAGTTGAAAGAAAGAAGCTTCTTGTTTTAAATATACATATGTATGTATGTATGTATGTATATATGTATATGTGTGTGTGTATATTTATTGAGTTGTTGATGGACCTTTATTTTATTCATTTATTTATATGTGGTGATGAGAATAGAACCCAGTGCTTCACACATGCTAGGCAAGCACTCTACCATGGAGCCACAACCCCAACCTGAAAGAAGCTTATTGAAAAAGACATCTAAGAGGGGATTTGAAGGATATTTATAGGATTCCAACAGATAGCGATGGGAAAGAAGCATCTCAAAAACTAAGGAAGGGTCCAGCAGGAATAAAAGCATGTTGGTAGGAGCAGAAAGCAGCAGTCTTATTGGAGGGCAACAGCAATGGAAGATTAGGCTCCAAAGCTAAGTGGAGGTCATATCATTCAAGACGTTAACGGTAAAAAGACTTGGAGAGTCATTGAATCTTTGAGTAGAAATGTAGACCAAGTCACAGTTAATAAGATTTAGTCAGTGGATAGGATGGGTGCCTACAAGAGCACTTGTCTGGAATGGTGTGAGCTGGAGCCATATATACCCCCATGGTCTTGGCATTGATGGTGTGGCACAGCCGGGCACCAGAACTGAGTACCTAGGGCATTTGCTAGAGCTCACGGCCTATGGAATTCAGTTCTCAGAGCCAAGTGGCCAAAGTTCTCTCTGCCTGCATACTATCCTCCCATGCTTCCTTGTATGAATTGTTCCCCATACGAGCAAGTAGAATTTTTTCCCCATATGAGCAAGTAGAGACCCAGGGTAGAACCTGGAATCTCAAGATACTTTCTACTCAGGGTTGAGGGGTGCTGAGCTTGGAGCTGAAAATGGGAGATCACAGCAAGGGAAATGGACAATGTTTCCCAAATTCCATTGGGAACTGGAGTAGGGTATGAGGGGAGGGGGCTCAGGGCCATAGCAGTGATTCTGTCCCCCAGAGCCTGGGTTTCACATATTCAGTCCTGTCATCTCCAGTCCAGATATCATCTCCTGGCTGAAGAGTTGAGGGCCTGGGGAAAGTGCCAAAATATGTATTCTGAGAAGGGTATATCTTCAAACAGGGAGGCTTCCAGAGCCAATAGGGATCTCCAAGATAGATAGGAGTTCAGAAGTGCTGCTTCCACAAAACCTCCCACCTGTGTTGAGAGCCACAGCCAAAGGGGCCCCAGCAAACTTCCAGCTGCCAGCAAGCTTCAGACTGCCAGCTGATGATTGGCTCACAGTGGCCCCAGCAACATCTAGCTGATTGGCTCCTCTGCGGTAATGTTCATTGGGCTGTTTCCCTGCCCTTCAGACTGCCAGCTGATGATTGGCTCACAGCAGCCCCAGCAACATCTAGCTGATTGGCTCCTCCACGGAGCTGCTCATTGGGGGACTTCTTTGGCTCCGCCCACGCAACCCAGCCAATCGGCCTCAAGAGCAGGAGGATCGTGGGAGGTGGAGAGGCTGGTGTGTGGGGGAGAGGCTTGTGGAAGCCGGTGGTGGCAGTTGGGCTCTGAGGGGTTTTCCCTGGAGCTGTTTTGTTTGGCGTTTGTAGTTCTAAAAATAAAGTTAGTTTCTTTTTTGACAAGTGGCTCCTGATTTGTGCCAAGCCAGACTTCGGCACACCTGAATGAAGATCTTTAAGTGTTTGGGATAGCTGAAAGATTTCTCTGAAACAC